AATTTTTTCGTGGAGAGGAGGCAGTATTTCGTACCTCCCTCTTCAAAATAGTAGAGAGGTTTCGCTGTCGCGATGACGTTAGTTCCCATCAATGCATGTTCGAACAACGACCCGGAAAAGTTAAGCCTGTGCTCTAAATGATCCAGATTGTTGATGTCAGGCGTTAATGTTTACCGGTAAAAAAAAGTTTTATATATTTCTAATAGTTTTTGCTATCTAAAGCACTTTTATCATTAGTAGTAGTAAAGCATTATTTACAAAATGGAGAAAAACGTCGAACAATACAATACTTTTTTACTTTTTTTTATAATTTTTTTTTATATTTGTAATGATATTTTATATTATTACAAACAATTTATTACAATAAAAATTTATTTCTAAGCAAAAAAAAGTCAATTTTATTTTTCTCTGTAACGAATAAATCTCTCTAAAATTTCATCATTTTTATTTGTAAAAATAATTATACTTTTTGGAGTCGATCCAAATAAGATTACGCTCTTTTAAAAGGTGATAGCTACAATACTCTACAATCATTTTTCTTAATATTCATTTGTTGCAAAGTTATAAATTTTTAAACTAAACAAGTTTCAATTTTTTCCCATTTGTGTTTAAATTTCGCTTTGTATAAACAATTAGGTTTCACATTTGTCTTTAAACCTATTGGATATTGTAACAGAGATGTTGACAAGTAACTCAAAAATTTTTTTTGGATTTTTTGAAAGCCTAGAACATAAAACATGAATTAAAGGCTCCAGCTTTCTTACGGCGTTAGTAAAAAAATAATTGCTGACGGAGGGTTATTAACAAGACTGTTCGATAAAGCTTGCAAAATTTGTGTACTGTAATGCCTATAAGACTTGTACATACAGTGTAATTGTGTATTTTTTAGGTTTCCAGTTTATCTTGGCATTAAAAACACATGACGTAGTAATGATAATTAAAACGACATCAGTGTTAGGCGGTCTAATGTTACAGTTATTTGTCTATAGTATTGTAGGCGATTATCTGAAGTGTCAAATGGAAGAAATTGCGGACTCGATCTACAGCTGCAATTGGTACAACTTTCCATTAAAATTAATGAGAAATGTAGTGTTCGTCATTATACGGTCGCAAGAACCTGTTCAGTTGCTAGCTGGTAAATTTTTCGTCGTAAACATCAAGTCTTTTATGACCATATTAAAAAGCTCGCTCTCGTACATATCCGTCCTACGGGTGATGGTGGACACGTAAGGCGTAGGTATTTGTTGGGAGAAAAACTCGAAAAGATAACATTGCACACACGTAGGCAATATCATTTTATAAGAAATTCTGTTAAACACCATATGTCTAGAATTGAATATTTTAACTTTATATAAATAAAATTGCTTTCTTTGTTATATCAATAAACGTATTGTATAATCGGTACATCACATTGACAGATTATTTTAAGAAGTTCAGCAATGCGTGACTCGCGATTGCAAAAATGTGTTGTTGCATACAATTTGATAACTGTCGAACAAGAAAAAAAAATATTAGCACTACACTAGCAACTTTTCTTTCATAAACAGATGGATTGAAATAAAGTGTATTGCAACACGATCAAATGATAACTGAAGTCGCTGTCTCGAAAGAAAAATGGAACACCCCACTCATTCGGTCTATGCTATATTCATCTTTCATACAAAAAATTGTCCCTCTCAGCTTGTGTATCAAATAACTGTGTTTTGAAAAATAACATGGTACGTTAGCAAATGTTACATTTACATGGTAAATGTTAAATTGCGTAAAATATTAAATAAAATATGAAAGCAAACCATCGCCGATGATCGACTCGTCTTATAGACAAAGACCGCGCGGCATTATTGAGTATCGTGCAACGTACAGCTCTACGTGACTGTGTTATAATGTCATGGAATGCCGATATAGCGTACGCTTTTACTCCCTTTAAAATGTTCACTCTGCCAATGGGCATTTGGCCTTTGCAAAAATATAATGCATTTTCCTTAGTCCGTTCTATCGTGTACTGCTTCATTTTGGTACGTTCTCAATTTTCATATTAGATATCGCGATAAAATTTATCTGCCACTCGTATTTTCGATATATCAAGTTCGTCAGTTCAAGTGAGGCGTTCAGTGTAGCAGAAAACGAGAAATAGCGATAGAACTTTATAATAAACAATTCTTCCTGTTTGTGTAGACCGCGTGGATGATCATGATATTTCTCGAAATCAATTTCGGTAGTGGCAATGCGTACGTACAGGTCGATAATTTTGAAGTTGTAATCAGCATCATTCTTGGTCTATCAAAGATAGTGTCCTTCCGCTTATATGCCAAGAATTTGACTCGCAATTTCTCTTCTGCTGTGGACGATTATCTCACGATAGACACCGAGGAGAAACGCACGATCATGCGGCGGCACGCTTATATGGGAAGGATTATGTGCTTTAGTATCTTATCTATGGCTTATGTTGCTTCGACAACTTTTATACTGTTACCTATGATACCTATGATAACAGGCGATACGGAAGTTCAAGTTAATGTAACCATCAATGACATATCGGAATTTCCCGTGGCCGTAACATTTTTAGGGGAGGTGCATGTATCTACGAGTTTATACATGTTGATCTGTATGTTACAATATATGGGACTAGTACTTACTGCTACCAGTAATTGTGGTAAATAGCTAATCGTTACTATTTGAAATTTGCATGAATTATAAAATATTAATTTTTAAAAATTTTACTTTTTATAAAATTTATTAACAAAAATCCTAATTTTTTTATCTCTATTTTCAGCTGTTTTATTAACTATTATCATATACAAACTAAACTTGTATATGTTTATTTGTTTCTCCTTAAGATTTACAAAAGCGTTTTTAATCGGGGAACGATCCCAAACCCCTCACAAAAAATTAATAACACCCTTATGCCCGTCCTGGCCGTCAGCGATCCTTTACATTTTGGTACCTTCTCACCCCTCGAACCCGCACCCTCGTCCTCTCCCCCTCCCCTAGCCTTTCCCTCCGATTCTTTTTTGTGCTCCTTCCCCCTTCCTCTGCTATCCTTGGTTTGCCCCTACTACTCCTACTCCTCTCCACCTCCTCTCTTTATCCCTTCTTTCTCCTATTCATCGCCTCCTTCTGAAACTCAAAAATTAACTTACAAACCGCTCTGTCAACCCTCTCCACCCCAACTCCTCGCAGCCTTTCTCCCTTTCCCTCCTCTCTTCCCTTCCGCCCTTCTTCCGCCTTCTTTCAGACCTACTTCTTCCCTAACCCTATTTCTCTTCCTCTTTTCCTTCCTGTCCTACTCGTCTTTCTCTTCTTTCATTTCCCTCCACCTCCTCCACCCAGCCGCTCCTATTGTCACCCTCTTCCTCCTCTTTTTCTTCGTTTTCTTCGCCTTTTCCTTTCTTCACCACCGTCCCTCTCACCCTGTCAGATGCCCTCCCCTTCTCTCTCTCGTCTCCTCTCCTTCTCAACTATTCACACCCCCGCCCCGCGGCGACCGATCTCTTTCTCAGCTCACATCGCGCGGCGCCTCCTCTCTTCTCTTCCCCTACCTGTCTTGCTATAACTCTCTCGCCTCTCTTCACCCTCGCTTTATTAGTACTTTCCCCTTCCTCTTGCTGACCTTGTCTGCCACTCTCTCTACCTCTTTCTCGTCATTCTAGTTCTTCATCCACGCCAAATTTTCGTCCTCTCTCTGCTCTCCTTACTCTACTCTCTGCCTTTTTATTACCTCTCTCCGCTTTCTCCCCTCCGCTTTCTTCTCTACGCCCTCCACTCGGTCCATTCCCTCCTCTATCCTTTCACCGATTTTCACTCTCTACGTTCTCTATATACAAACTAAATTTAATGTTTAATTAAATAAAATACTTATTATTTTTATCGGTATTAAATATTGAAGTTTATATGCTTTTTTAATAAATGTTTTTTTTTTAATGCCTGACGCAACTACTTTACAATTGAAATGCGATGTTTTGATTTTTTTTACGTCACTCTTGCAACAGATTATTGATTTTATTATTATTATATTATGAAACTTTCAATATAAACTACTTTAATGCAAAAATGTAATTTATTTCTAAAGGCAACGATACATTTGTCCTCGCAATTACTCTCCATGTATGTGGTCAATTGGAACTTCTAAAAATT